CGACCAAGAGAGAAGATTTTGTTCCTCCAGATAAAATGAAAAATTCCCCATTAGCAAGTGGAAAGTTATGGTTAAACCTGACAAGTATTTAAAGGAGTCCTTGATTAGCCTTTAGATTTGAGCTCTAAGCCGGCCTGAAGAATATGTATCATCTCACTTACTACAACAAGCAATGTTATTGTCTTTTGAGATTATGTCACCAAAAGTCTACAATGAAATCATGGAGAATCCTAAATAACGATGGCCCAGATTTGCCCATATTAAAATAAATACTGATAATTCTACAGGTTTATAAAAAAACCTGAGACTATTACAGAGTACCTTTGAGGTTGGCAAGTATGAAGACACATTCGTACTTTGAGAGTTCTAAATTTGTCATTTCCTCTGATGAAAGTAAGACCAAATTCTAATGCATAAAGCTTTTCTGAGCCACACACAAAATAGTTGCTTTAACAAAGAGACCAGGCTTATCATGCTACAATAATACATCTTACAAAAGCTTTAAAGAGAAATGCCCACATCAAAATTGACATTTCTTCATCACCATAATCCTTAAGTAACAGATTATTATGGAAAAGAATCTTCAGGACTGTTTTGCAGAGCCTTAATTGTATACATCTACTTTTAACAAAATATTTTCCTTATTTTTAACTCTCAGCATTTATTATTTCTTTTCTTCTGATGTTACTCTAACCAGGAGAAGTAGCTAATAATGGCAAACTCTGAAAACAAAAGCATTAATTCATACCTTCTTATAAATAACCAGTCATTCTGGAGAGGTAGGGTTCAGGTTACCGCGCCCAGAATTAGTAGCCTGCATGTAGGTGACCAAATGAGCAGCAGGTTGCTCTGGATATTGTCAGTACAAATCTTGGGCACAGTTCATATCTTTATATGGTGTATAGACACACAGTCTATGGGGTCAGATGAGATCCACTCAAGGGTACTGAGGGAGCTGACAGAACTGCTCACGGAGCCACTTTAAATTATTTATCAAGCAGTTCTGGCTACCTTTGAAGGTCCTGATTGACTGGAAGTTAGCAAATGTGATGCACATCTACAGGAAGAGCTGAAAGAAGAATTCAGGGAACTACAGCGTCCTGGTTTGTATCAGAAATAGTGTGGTCAGCAGGACTAGGGAAGTGGTTGCCCACTTGTACTCAGCATTGGTGAGGCTACGCATTATGTACTGTGTTAGTTCTGGGCCACTCACTACAAGAAAGACTTGAGTTGGTGGAACATGTCTGAAGAAGAGCAGCAAAGCTGATGAAGGGTCTGGAGCACAAGGCTAATGAGAAGCAGCTGAGGGAACTGGATTGTTTAACCTGGAGAAAAGGAGGCTCAGGGGAGACCTTAGTGCTTTCTACAGGTACCTGGGAAATGAGGTTGTAGCAAGGTGAGTGTCAGTTTCTTCTCACAGGTAACAAGCAATAGGACAAGAGGAATTACTCTCAACTTGCACCAGGGGAGGTTTAGATTGAATATCAGGAAAACTTTCTTCCCTGAAAAGGTTGTCAAGAACTGGAACAGGCTGCCCAGGGGACTGTTTGAGTCACCATACTTGGGGATATTTAAAAGATGTGTTGACGTGGCACTGATGGACATGGTTGTGGACTTGGCAGTGTTATATTAACAGTTGGACTCCATGATCTTACAGGTCTTTCCCAACCTAAATGATTCTAAAATGTTCATAAAATGATACCAAATCAGTACATTACATTATGCCCGAAGCAGGTGTACCAGGAAAACAAGGGAAGTGCTTGACCTTCTGGCAGTGTCTAATGTGACACTTCCTCTGAGTAACATGATAAGGAAAGAAGACATCACTGGACAGCACTTGCAAGATCACAGCTGTAGCCAGGTATCTGCGTATTTGCATTTGTCTTGCTGTAATCATTATCTAACGGTGCACAGCAAGAGAGAATCTGGTCCCCTACCTGAGAGTTCAACTGCTGTCATTCCTGGGAGAACAGTTTACTCCAGACTTCTGTCAGAGTTTAGCGAAAAAAGCTGTACTTTTCAACATTGGTTGATTAAAGAAAATTCAAACCAGTGATATGTGCACCGCTGTAAACATTTAATGAAGGCTGTGAAACAGAATCAGACCTGCTGGAGTCTTTTGGGGGTATTCTTTGCCATGCTAATAAACAATTCTTTTGTCCAGTGTTTGAGTAGATAAGAAACACCAAAGGGAATCCCTAGCCAAAGTCTGCACATTGCTATCCTGGCACTAGTAAGAGCAGCTACTTGCTGTTTCTTGTTTGATTTGGCTAAGTATGCATAGCAACAATGTAATGATTCCATACGTTAAAAATACAATCAATCACATGCAAGACCAAACTCCTCAAATTTAGTGTCCTGAAAAACAATGAAATTGTGCATGACAGCACTTGCTTGGGTTACTTCTAGACAGCAATATTGCTGGAATTCATTTAGTTCATCACAAATTAGTGTACAGATTTCAAGAAAGTATGCCTAAAGAGGATAAGCTACTCTCTGAAAATCTAAGTCCTGATTATTTTATCCTTTAGTTAGTGAGGCAGAAGGTGGAAAAACATATACCTGCATCTATTATAGCTCCTGGCTCACTAGAAGGTATCTTTGCAGACTTCGCTGTAAAAACAAGGCTTATTGAAATAGCTACTGTATATTAACAGAAAGTCCCGTCTCTTTTCTTAAATGTCATGAGTACATTAAAGGAGAAAAAACTAGTAGAGTGGTTTGAAAGCAGCTTTTGGATCCTGCTATAATCCTGCCACTGAAACAAAGTGTTTCTTATGCCTTGGATGCACAGCTTAATCTCTCTAGCTCACATTTTTCACACATTTTTAACAATGAGAACAATCAGCCATTGGACTAAACTCCCCAGGGAAGTGGTAGCTTCTCCAGCATTGGATACTTTCAAGATTTACCTGGGCAGGTGTCGTGGTTTAAACCCAGTCAGGTAACTCGTTCACTCACTCCCCCCCCTTCTTTCCCTCCCCCTACTCCAGGAGGGATGGAGAGGAGAATCGAAAAGAATGCCACTCCACGGGTTGAGATAAGAACAGTTTAGTAACTAAGGTATAACACAGATCACTACTGCTACCACCAATGATAATAATGATAAAGGAAATAACAAGGAAAGAGAATACAACACCTCACCACCAGCCAACTGATAACTTGCCCCCCTCCACCCGACCAAGCTCCGACCGATACCTCCTCCAACCCTGCAGCCTCCCAGCCCTTCCGGCTAACTCCCAGTTACATCCTGGGCATGATGTGCTGTGGTATGGAATACCTCTTTGGTCAGTTTGGGTCAAGTGTCCTGTCTCTGCTTCCTCCCGGCTTCCCCTCCTCCCTGGCAGAGCATGAAGCTCACAAAGTCCTTGGCCAAACCAAAACATCACTATCAGCTCTGTTCCCGAGCTGAAAGTCAAAACACTGCACTACACCAGCTACCAAGAAGGAGAAAAATGACTGCTACTGCTGAACCCAGGACAGCAGGGTCCTGGGCCATCTTGTCTAGACTGTGTTTTTCCCAAGAAAGGTTGCACCAGATGATCCTTGAGGTAGTTTCCAACCTGTTATTCTATGATTCTATGATTTTTATTTATGAAATTAGGATAACAATATTTAATTGTTTTCCTTACTGGGGATAATATAAGGATTCAATATTGAATGTTGAATTAGACTATTTTGATTATGTAGAATTCTATGTAACTGCATTTAGTATTAATACCTTTAAAAAACAGCAAAAAAGTTAATAATTTATATATTGTCTTCCACTACTTCAAATAAATAGAAAAGCATTGTGGATTGGAAACATGTACAATATAATTTCACAACCAAAGTGAAAGCTAGCAATAAAGCACCATAAATCATGAGAAGTAAGCAAATATGCTAAATGGAATTTAATTAGCTTTGACTTATTTTACCCATACATATTATCCTTGACAAGACAAGCTGATTGTATAAACACAGTAACTTGAGTCTGTGACTTGAGATTTGATTTCTAGTTCCAAACAATGCGTTGCCTTTTGGAAAAATCAGCTAAAACTGATTTCAGGCTTAAGCCAAAAATCTTTAGATTGAAATAGACATTTTTTGAAGTGGGTTTGTAAAACCACTCAGCAATGTCAAAACTCTTTCAACTACATCTGTTATAAAACTCCTAATAGATTCAACAGTGGGAAAAATTATTGAACAACATGAAACACATTTGAAAAAGTTGCTCTATCATATTGCTGTATGAGAGGTTTCTTTTTTAATATAATTTATGTTTTAGCATCACAAAATTTAATATAGTTAATTTCTTCTAGGTCTCTGTGTTGTTAATGATCTCCTGTAACTTGCTCTCTAATGCTGAAGAAAACCAAAATATACACTGCAATAGTGTGTGCTTCTAATGGAAGCTAGTGCAAGCCTATTTAAGGCTTTAAAGAAAGTCATCTCTACAATGAATGATGTCTCTAAAGGAACAGGAAGCTGTTAAAGAAATTGAAGCACAGGGGTCATCTGATCGTATCAATTGAACAAGAAGAACGTGTTGTACATGATCAAAAGACTTTGAACTGCTTTCCTGTGCACAAAAGACTAGTACAGGGCACATTACGGCAGATTAACCTGAAGTTAGCAATGGCATGGATAACTGTAACAGCATGCTTCAGAAAGGAAAACGTCACCCTGAACACCAGTTTACCACAGCCACCTGAAGATCAGAGCTGATGGATCTAGAAAAACTCTGAGCTGTCAAGACACCCAACGCAATTGCATCTCCCTACAATCTCCCTATAAAATCATATTAACCACTGCCTCCATGCATCCCTCCATTACAATCCAGGACTCCCTATAATAAAAAAATAAAAATTACTGCATATTTACAGAGAGGCAAAGACAGCTGACATTCAGCATACTATCTCAGCTGAGAAAAAATATATCTCTGCTTTAGAGACAGGAATACATAAAACTATGCATTATAACCCTGGAGGTTATATCACAACCATAGAAAAGTCTCAGGCTTTCTTCCTAGTGTATTTTTTATTTATACATAGGCATACACGTACACACTCACAAAAGTATTTGGCAGCTGTTTTGAACAGATGGAGTCCTGTGGATCTCCAGGGGAAGAGCCTGTGGAAACTTAGACAAAATACATATTAACATCCTTAAAATACTCTATGAAAGAAATAAACTACTGAAGAGAACTCTTACCCACATGTCCAAACTGAGCCATAGCTCCCAAATAAGCCACCAATACCTTTGGGTCAGATAAAGAACGGGGTGATGATTTAACATGTGGTCAGCTGCATAACCGAAATCGTGACTGAAGATTCCAGGCAACAACCACATCACAAACCCCATATTCTGGAAACTGAAGGCATCAAGATTATATTTTAAACCAAATTTTGCAAACAGAATTTTTAAAACTTTCCACAATGGAAGAGATTTTTAGATAGAATGGGAAATGAAATTCACATACACTCTTTCTCTTTTTTTTTTTTTTTTTTACTCATCCAGGAGAGAAAAAATTATCCAGTACCTTTGAGACAGATTGATCCTCAGGCAAAACAAAATCACACATTGCTGACTTTTACTATTCACTTAATTCTCTCTATTCAGTCTCAAAAATTCTATCTCAGAGATTATTTTGTTTTGCAACTATATCTCTGTGAATCCAAAATAAAGTGGCTTTAGAGTTCAAGGAAGCCTCCAACATGGATTATAATGTCTGCAGAGAAGCAGACATTTGCATAACAAAGTATCTATCTTGCTATAATCCTAGTTAAGAATTTTTTTTTTTTTCTTGGAAGATGGCTCACAAAGTTATTCTGTCAAAATGTAATCAAGAGATGGATTCCTTTTTTCAAGTTTAGTAACTGCATGCAGATTTCAGAGGAATTTCTTAAATGAGCAAAAAAGCAGCGGCAGCGTGGAAAGACAATCCAACTTAGAGATATAGATCATAGCTTCTAGAAAAGTAACTTATGGTAAACTAAGCATCTTCAAGCTGTCGGTAAATGTACCTTAGAGGATTCTGAAGGATTCTAACAGGTTTTAATGATTAGGTACCCTAAGTAAGGAATAAAAATTTGTCCCTTTTGTCATTTTAAAAGTGCTATTTATGCAAACCTATTTGTCTGCTTTATATAAACCCCTCCTCCAGATTTCTCTGAAAAAAAAAACTGCATTAGGTACGTAAGTCAGGAATAATTCTGTTTTGTTGTGTTTTACTCAGCTTCCTCCACTCTTCAAGTTTGTTTCAAGTAATCAAATATTTGATTCTATGGCTCATTTCCACCACTTAATTGTTTTCTGATTAGTCTTTAAACATTTAAAACTTGATTCAGTTGCTTGCCAGGAAATCTATAGTCCCACCTAAGACACTTGAGGATATCCACGGTCTCCACATAGAAATGACAAATATAACACAGGGCTTACATGAGGAGAACCCTTCCCTCTGAGGCCCCAGATGAGGGTTGAGCAGGATACTACTATACCTTATACAATACTATACATATACCTGTGGGCAACAGATTAAAAGATTCAAGTGCAGAGTGCATATCAGATGTGCCCACCTCCTTTCATATTCTTTGCTCTGGGCCCTAGGATGGAGATATGTGTTTAATTTCTCTGTCTGCCTAACAAAAGTTCTTTCATGACCTTGAAAGAATATCCTCAAGGATTCAGGAGAGGCAAACAGTATTTTTTCTTGTCTTGTATGGCCACATCCCCAGAATTATTTAGGTGCGAACTCTCCATGTATATTTCAGGGGGAAGATAAGTGTTCTATGAGAAATTAAGCATCCTAAGTCAGTACTTAGTGCAACTCTGATGCTTATGCAAAGATCTGCATATGAGCACTAACAGTCCTGTCAATTTACATTGCATGTTTACATCACACCATATGGCATGATGGTCATGAAAGCAAAAAGGCCTTCTCAGCTCACCTTTCTACTCTTTCCTCTCCCAGAAATCCATCTTTTTGGATCTAGGTCAGTTTATTTATGTGGTGCTTGCAATCTTGACCCAAGACACAAAGAAAGAAACATAAAGGAAAGTTTCTATATTTGTTACACAAAGAAAATATAAATCATAATAAAAAGACTAAATTCTAGCCATAAATTCTTAGGTTTATGAAATGAAGACACAATAAGCTTATGAGCCTAGCAGAAAGCAAAATGAATGCAGACTTCATAGAATCACAGAATAATAGTTTGGTACCCTCATCTAGTTCCAACCCCCCTGCCATGGGAACAGACACCTTCCACTAGAACAGGTTGCTCAGTGGCTTGTCCAGCCTGACATAGAACACTGCCAGGGATGGGGCAGCCACAGCTTCTCTGGGCAACTTGTGACAGTGCCTCACCACCCTCCCAGTAAAAAACTTCCTCCTAATATCTAATCTAAATCTATCCTCTTTCAGCTTAAAGCCATTCTCCCTTGTCCTGTCCCTACATACCCTCGTAAAATCTTCTTTTTCAGATTTCTTTTAGGCCCCTTTCAGGTACTAGGAGGCTGCTCAGAAGTCTCCCCAGAGTCTTCTCTTCTCCAGACTGAACAACCCCAGCATTTCAGCCTTTCTTCATAGAAGAGGTGTTCCAACCCTCTGATCATCTTCACAGGCCTCCTTGAGACTCACTCAAACAGGTTCACATCCTGCTCACACTGGGGCACCAGAGCTGGATGCAGTACTACATGTGGGGTTTCATGAGAGCAGAGTAGGGGGGTAGAATCAATTCCTTCAACCTGCTGGTCACACTCCCTGTGATGCAGCCCAGAATATGGTTGTCTCTCTGAGCTGCAAGAGCACATTTCTGGGTCATGTTGAGATTCTCATCAACCACCTGTCTTCTTCTCAAAGCACTCTTTCTGCCTATTAGTAGAGAGCAACACCGTTTTTATATGTGGGATACAGCCAGTTAAGTGGCTGTAGGGAGCGTTGCTTATTCCTGCCAGGGCAGCAAACGTCTACGCTTTGGCCAAGCTGGCCCTCCTTTACTCTAGTCCAATCTAGCTGCTTAGCTTCTTGCCTGAGGTAAGTAGTATTTGTTACTCCCTGGAGTGCCTACTCTGCTCTACAGTTCATGAGAGTGAGCCCATATGACTAGTATAGTATATACACTTAACTTTCAAGTGTCTAAAGAAAAGATGCATTTTTTAACCCCCATGTCACCTCCTTGAACCCTGTGACTTTCTGTCTGGGTTTGCACCATGCAGGTGCTGTGCCTCAGACAGCAATCTAGCCAGCGCTTTTGTCTTCCCAGCCTTCCAGTGTCGAATGGAAAAGTATTAAAGAATGCATTTGTAATATATTTAAAACTGATTTCAAAAACCAATTTAGTTAGCTATCGCTCTTCTAACAAGGCACAAACACAAGCAAGGAAATGAATAGATGCCATTGCAAGATGTCCACTTCTGCCTTAGAAATTAGTACATATATCTCATCAAGTGTAATGAAATGCATGTTTCATTATAATACAGTGACCTTACCACTGACCCACAGAAAGGTAGGTATTATTAGATGGGTTTTTTGGTTATCTTGATTTTAGCAGCAGAATATTTTCTTTAAAGGAAAGTTCTTACACGGACAACACTAGCAGCTCATTATCTATTGACAGTAAAGTGTTACAGTAAGATACTTTCAGTACATTAAGAAGCTGTGTATATTCTCAAGCAAGGGCAGAAGGATGGTTCTAGTTCACCCAAGATTTATGGATGGATTCTGCCTACTGGCTTTAATTGTCTCACATAGATGTTACAATCAATACTTGAAATGCCCTTGCCTGGTCCTATCAAGATGACTCTGATTACCTAAATTACCTGCCTATTGTGCCTATACTCAGACTATAGTTTACAGAAATAAATTTAAAGAATAGGAAGCCTTGCAGAGTGAATCAGAGTGGGATCATCTCTTTTGCCTTGTAATCAGACTCTTCCCAGCCAAGCCCTTTGTGCAGCTGCCCCTGCAGGTCTGCCAAAGAGATGAGCCTTGACTGACCTTGGTTGCTCTGTGTGCAAGGATTCCTGGCCACAGGCAGGTCACCAAAATCCTCCTCTGATAGGGCACCTGGGAGGCTCACCTTAAGGTCGCTCCTCCTCGACCTTCGGGAGAAAAGTTGGAAACAGGTTCATTAACTTTGAAATGTTACAACCTGGGCAAGTGATAATTGGAGTAGTGCAAGGTCTAGCTCAGTACATTTATGTAAGACCTGAAAGACATTTCTGAAAGTCCTCCATGTCAGCATTGGTAAGCACTCAGATGCTTACAGGACTCAAACAGGTATTTTGATAAACAGTCTGTGATTATATTTGGTTGTTTTCTTAAGGTCTATGCTCTATTTACTACACAGCTGCTGGTAAACATATAATATTATACATATGTATTTCACTTTGGTTTACAGTTTAAGTGTTGTTTTGCAATAAACTGTCTGCTCTTGGTAAGAATAATACAAGAGCACTGAAGCTGGTAGAAATACCTGCAGCTGAACTAAATTTGGGAACATTGTGTCTGTTTACGTGCACAGAAAACCAGGTCAGACTTGTTTGCTCATTCTTTAGCAGCACCAATCTTAGACTATTGCTAACTATTCTTTTATTTGCTCTTAATTGTTTGGGATTTCAAAATGTATGACAGCTGCCAGCCTTACTGGTTTGCCTAGTAACAGTGAGGCGGCTTTAAATACTGGGTTTATTTATGTATCTGGAAGTTTCCTTTTGTTTATTATTTTATTTAGATAAACAAAATGAAACTTGACATACATCTTTGCTTCTTTTCTTTATTCTTTTACTTAGATAGATAAAATAAAAGTTGATGTACATTTTTGTTTATTGGTGGTATAAATATTACAGATGTTCTGGCAGTACTTGAAGTTGCCATAATGATATGAAAGCCCTCTAGTCCTAGCTGCTGTGTAAGCATACTAAAATATACCGCCTACTGCCAGAAGAACCCTAAGACCTAAAGAAAAAAGCAGGATCAGGAAATGTTAGGCAGAGATCAGAGGTGTTTCATGTTGGTTAGACAGTGTTACCTCATTTTAACAGTATGTTTCCTATCTGTGTAGGACAGAGTATAATCGAAGTGTCTTGGTCTTTACACTCCTATTTGCATTCTAATTTTCGTTTTCATGCAAAGTTATCTGTAGTGGAATGTGGTATGAGGGGTGGAAAAATATGGGTGTCAGTTACTAATACTTTTGCTTGCACTCAAGTAGGAAAGTACTAGGGGAGTGAGAGGGAGAGAGGAAGGGGGAAGGAAAAGAGAAGGGAGGGTTTGTGAGGAGAAGAGGGCCAAGAAGAACAAGGGGTCGCTTAGCTGAGGTAATGCTTGGCGAGCAGCAGCACATGGTTTCACAGCAGCATGAAAACAAAAGGCACCTGGAAGTACCAAAACCATTGTTAACACTGTGCAGTGTGTCAGCCTGTGTTGGGTTATTCCTGGCTGGATATCAGGTGCCCACCAAAGTCATTCTATCACTCCCCTCTTCAACTGGACAGGGGGGAAAAAAGATAATGAAAGGTTCATCGGTTGAGGACAGGGAGAGATCACTCATTGGTTACTATGATTGGCAAAAAAGACTAGAATTGGGAAAATTAGTATAATTTATTACCAATCAAAACACAGTAGGGTAATGAGAATCTTAAAACACTTTTCCCCACTCCTGCCTTATTCTCCAGCTTAACATCACTCCTGATTTCTCTATCTCCTCCTCCCAAGTGGTCCCTGCTATGGGAAACAGTCCTCCATGGACTTCTCCAATGTGAGTCTTTCCGATGGGCTGCAGCTCTTCACACACTGCTCCAGTGTGTCCTCCTTCCATGGGGTGCAGCCCTTCAGGAACAGTCTGCTTGTGTCCCCCAAGGGGTCACAAGTCCTGCAGCAAACCTGCTCCAGTGTGGGTTCCTCTCTCCATGGGGCCACAGGTCCTGCCAAGAGCCTGCTTCAGGACAGGCTTCCCACATGGTCACATCCTCCTTCAGGCATCCCCCTGCTCCAGTGCAGGTCCTCCATGGGCTGCAGAGGTACAGCTGCCTCACCATGGGCTGCACCATGGGCTGCAGGGGAATCTCTGCTCTTGTGTCTGCAGCACCTGTTCCCCTTCTTCCAAGACATGGGTACATCTTGGAGTAGGCTGGCATGGGCTCTGTCAGACAAGGGGGAGGCTTCTAGTACCTTCTCTCAGAAGACACCCCTGTAGCTCCCATTACTACTAAAACCTTGCAACACAAACTCTGTACGCAACCCCATTGTCCACCACCAGCTTATGTCTTTGTCTCTCCTGTGTTGGTAAGACTTATTCTGTATCTCTTCTCTGACTCTTACCTGGACTTCAGTTTTAGCTAACTTTGTATCTGGACTGTTTATTATATGTTTATTTTTAATACTCCTCTGTATTGAAAATCTCTTCTTACACTGCTTCTGTTCCCCCTTTACCATCATCATTTCAACACCATTTCTTCATGCTTCTCATCCAATTTGTGACAGCATTTGCTTTTGTTGTTTCTTCATTTCTAAACTTTAATAACTAAACCCTGATTCTGATCTCATGTCCTCATGTAGAAACCCCAAACAGGAAGGTTTTAGTTAATCTGGTTTTTATCTTTCTACTAATCTGAGAGTTACCACTGTCAAAAAAATTGGAATTTATTCCCGTAAATTCAAAAAATATGACAAAATCTCCATAATTCAATAAAATGACAGTTTTGCTGGTTCAGCAAAGTCCTTACACCATGCCTAACATTTAGCCTGAGCATAAATCTCATTAAAATCAAGCACGTGCTTACGATCCTCAAATAAGCTCTCCTGGCAATAGACATCTGTAACTAGTTGGAAACATTTAGCCATCCATAACTATCTTTCTGCACGGAGCTCCTGCTTCTATTGCTGCATTATCAATCTTCATTCGTGTCTCTTTGCCTGGACAGCAATTGCTTTGGTTCTTGAAAGTCTAACTCACTCGAATTTATTCCTATCCCTTTTCTTCCTCCTTTCTGTGTGTGTAGAAATCTTTCTGTTCTTTCAGCAAGTTTCACTGAAAAGCAAACCAAACACACATCCTCTGTGTATCACAGTGACTTTGAGCCTTCTTTCCTCCATCTTTTGTAACTTTTTACCCTAGAAATTCTACATGCCCCCTGTGGGAAATATGGACAGTGCATGATTTTTAGCTTTTTACTTTCAGGTTATTCAGCAAGATATTCTGAGGACCCCATTAATGGCTTCAACCTCCACAGTACAAGATTTCAAATCGTGACAGGCTTTTGAAAAGACTTGTCTGTAATAGTATTTTTACCTCCTTTTTTTCCTGGATTGCTTCTGTTGTAATCAGCAATCTTTTCAGACATCTTAAACCCCCTCCAGTAATATTTTCTCTTCACTAGGATTTTTCTATAAGGCTTCAAGCTTTGCTTTGTTTCCAGATTTTTTTTTTTTTTTAAATCTCTCTAGACATCTCAATAAACTGTATTCCATACCTAGAGCCTCCAAAGGGGATTACTAACAAGAGTAACTCAGATTGCTTTAGTCTCTATGAATTCTCTTAAATCTGTTTACACTAAAGCTAATTGAATCCTTCCCTCCTTTCCCACCATTATCCACAGCTGAACTTATGTTGATGGCACATTTGAACTTCAGGGCAGACGTTCTTAACCAGATGATGTGTTTTGCTGAGTTTTGCAAGCTGATTGACTAGTTAGATTTTATGGCAAACAGCAATCAGGGTGCAGAAGGTGGAGCCAGAGATTGGCTCTGCAGCCAGCAATTCAACACCATTGATCTGATTGCAAGGCAGCAGAAAATTTCCCTTCTTTGACTTTTAGGAGCTTCCACATTGGTCCTTTATGCACACATGGTGAGACGATACAATGAAAGTGCATGATGTTTGTATTAATGCAGGGCAATAACACTATTCACTCAAATGTTTAAGAGAAAAGGAAGCATGCAGTCCTAACATGGGACTCTGTTTAGGAAATCTCTTTTAAATCACTTAGGTTCAGATACTTGGAAGTACTTTGCATTCTAATTTTCAATTAAAATCAGTGAAATCTCTCCATGAAATGAACTATTCTATGAATGGCTGTTACATATGTAAATACCATTTTAATTCTGGACCTTTGAATTTTGGTGGCCTTTTTATTGGCCTCTGAAGAGGTCAGGGAAACTAATGAAAAAATTAACATCAACCATTTTCAGTCAGGGCTGAAATGGACAACCTCTGATTTCCTGGTTGCATGGTGTTAAAAAGAAGATAATCCCTTTCATCTAAATATAGCTCTCTGCCCAACATCTTCATATGTAAAATTCAGAAGCTTAACTACACCACTGGTATCAGTGAGATGCTTTTCCCAAGCCACTTTCAGAAAAAGCCATCAGAAATTGTTGCTAAATGTCATTTTCAGTATCAGTATTGCAGCTTCTGTCCACTGCAGATTAAAAGTCTCTTTCAAGCACTTCTTTGAATTAAGTAAACCACAGTAGCACTCTAGCTACCCCATAATCTCTACTGGAACACTTTTCTGGCATATTTAGACTACAAACATATTTCTATCAGCACCAGAGAAGTCAGGAGACTGTGAAACCTCTTTGCTACAACAAGGCTCCAGAGGAGAATTAAAGCTTTTAATTTTTAGCAACCCCTTTATGGAGTACAGTATTATGGTAGCAGGGATATTTTCCTTTTAGGGCTCAGCAAATCCAAGTTGGTAATAAAACTAACTTTTATTCTTTGTATTAAATGTTTGCTATTACTCAGTTTTATTTAAAAATCTCTTCTCCATGGTATATGTTGTTCAAAGTGTCTGAGGTAATAATTATTATAATTAATACAGTATTACAGTTTATATATTAATGATGAATTATTGATAATTAGCTATATATATTAAATATTAGAAACCAGGAAGTATCTAAGCTGAATTTAGTACATTTCATTGGCTAATATCTATTGGGGATGTTTCATTTACAACTGTGTAAAACAATATATATTGCCTCCTTAGTACCTTTATTGCATAGAGTTTGGTATTGCTAATGCTATATTTAAAGTCGAAAGTAGGCACTACTGTGAGGACATACACATGAACACATAATATCAAGTGTTATAGCCAGGATTCATGCCCCCAGCTTCAGGCAGTCACTGTTTCCATTCTATAATGTAAACGTAGAGAGAGAAGCAACTCATGAAAG